GGATGCTTCCATCATGCATGCTAAACCTGAGGTCTTGTGTGGGTAATGATGCTTCCAACATGCATGCTAAACCTGAGGTCCAGGGTGTGGGTAAGATGCTTCCAACATGCATGCTAAGTCCAAGCTATTATTCTCTGCTACCCTTATTAGCCTGGTAACACACTAGGTAACTTGAGAGTTAGCCTCTGCATTTGATTAGTAACCTCACTGAGTGTAAATGGAACACAGAAACAATGTATAATGTCTTCACAGGCAATTATGTGCTCAATCAGAGCTCCTTTCAGATCCACATTATAAGATCACAAATTTACTCAACCTCCATTAAGTCCATATTGAATCACGCATACAATGAATTACCGATCTGCAAAGCATCAACAGATACAAATAAAAGGGTTTAGTAACATTACTATAATTCTGAAACATAGTATAAAAAAAATAATACATATTTTCAACACATAAAATAATGTACTAAGACCTTCTGTTAAAAACCAAAAAAAAAAAAAAAAACCTTTAAAAATCACAGGTATCCTCAATGTGACACAAGAGAGCATGTGTAAACATTTATATAAAAACAAGAAGCAATGTTACCTCTAGTAACACCATCAGACTTCAGGGAACAGAAACAACAATAAAAGTCACTAACAACAAATGAAGTGACATCAAGCCTATTATCACCACATCACAGATATCCTCAGTTTGTTTCCAGTTAAAAAACAAAACCATATCATGCCAACATATATCATCACTAATATGAGGAAGATTTCTACGCCTAGAACATGAACAGCGCTAACCAGCATCATTGGTAAACACAGTGAAACATTCTGTAAACCTTATTCACTCCTTTGAATTGTAAGAATTTTTTTATTCTCAATACAACCATTAAGTTTGCCCCCACTTCTCAAATCTCACATTTTAAAACATATTGTGCTTGCTTATTCCATTTATTTACACATAGGCCTTTTTTCCCCCCTTCTTTGTGCCATGTAATTCACTCACTGGCTGACGACACTTGTACATGTTAAATATATCTGCTTTTAATTCACTTCAGAATACAGCACTTTTAGACAGGATTCTATATTAAACAAAAAAGGTCAGAATTAACTCACATAACATGGCAGAATCCCTTTATATGTACCTCGGCATATTCCATAAGAAGAGTAATTACTTACTTCCCTAAATTTGAATTTTATTATATGATAGAGACATTTTTACATAAATTAATAACCAAATTTACATCTTCTGTACCAGCCATGTCTTATAGTTAATCATCACTCTTGTTGTTACTTTAGTCCCATCTATTTGACCGAGGGATCACATAGATGGGGTTGTGGCAAAGGCTCAAAAAGGTCTAAACGCACTAAAGATTATGGCAGCGATGGACATGGAGCAGAGAATGCTGTTCACACTTTACCAGCACTTAACCATCTCTGATTGATTATGGATTGAGGTTACTCACTGTCTCGAAGAGTCAGCTAGAGAAACTAGAACGCATACAGAATGAAGCTATGCGGCTGATTCTGAATTGTACAAGAGACCCCTGATTGCATGCATACGATACATCCTTGCACTGCTGACTACTGCAGATAGGCTAAAGGTGCTGCAGGCAAGGGTCAGAGGCTGAAAAGGGGGAAATCGTGGATGGCTCAAGCAGAAGACACAATAAGATAAGTATGTATGCTGGAGAACATTGAGCGAGGAAAGGAGTGGGTCAGAGTGCCAGCGAGAAAGTCTGACATGTGTAGGGTTATGATAACATCGTGCCGGGTGTGCAGAGAGTGGCCAGCAGGTGCTACTGAGGTTGAAGTCCAACAGCTGATTCACAACAATTTACGCCCAGGTGTTCTGATTACCTACACAGATGATTCAGTCTTGAGAGGAAAGAGAATTGCCTGGAGGTTCGTAGCGAAAGCCAATGAAAAATCTTTAGTGCAAGACAGCCTTGCATATGACACCACAACATCTAGCATGAGAATGGAGGTGAAGGCGGTAACTGCAACTCTCCGGTAGATAGAGAACAAGATGCATACACATGTTATAATTGTAACAGATTCTGAAATCATGCTGAAAAAGGTGAAGACAGGGATGCTTCGAGCAGAGTGGCTAGCTTCAGTGAAAAGGTAACAGATGGTGAGCATACTTTGAATCTTTTCTCTAGGTTATGCCGGCGTGGTGAGCAATGAACATGCAGACAGATGGCTGGATCCACACCACTGGGTGGTGAAGTGATACATGACAAGGCAGATGTGGTCAAGGCCCTTTAGGAACAAGCAATAGAATCAGTAGAGAAAAAAGATTATTATGGCCTGGAGAGAATGAGGCACCTGGGTGTAACCAGAGGGTCTGGCCAGCTCAATACACTGAGAGGAAAGGCTCGACGGACTTTTAACCAGATTGTAATGGGTACCATCAATATTTGAACTCTGCGCTGGCTGCTGAAGATGAGGACGGAGCATGCATGGGAATGCCCCGAATGCTGTGATGTCAATTCTTGACTCAACTTAACTCAACTCTGACTGGATTACTGCTATATTAACCCACTCTATGCTGGTTGTTACTTCAATTATTTTTCTATTGGTATAATTCAATCTGAAACTGCTACATTAGCCAACTCAATCTGACAGGACTGTTACATCAGTCCACTCAATCTGACAGGACTGTTACATCAACACACGCAATCTGGCAGGATTGTTACATAAACTCCCTCAATCGTAGTTGTCACTTCAACTTCTGACATTTAAGTAATGAGACTGCTCTTATTAGGGACAAGACAAAAATGTTATCTATGAAGTAAAGCATAGAATCCAAAGAGGTAACCTTCACCTATGATCTGGCAACTTTTCATCGCTGCCCAAAAAGCAGACAAACAAGCCGCTATTTTGTTGACCTAGTCAGAGGTGCATTGTCACGTAATCAGCATGCAGCAAAAAGCTCAATCTAAATTCTGTTTAAAACTCAGCAAAAGCGCAACTGACATGATTGAATTTATGTGAAATGGGGATAACTTTATCTCGTGCACAGACATTCAAGTGGCATTCACGATTTAAAAGTGGTGTGGAAATTATTACTAATGCAACTAGACCTAGACGCCCAATTTCTGTTCGTAATGAGGAACTCACTGCAAAGGTCAGAAAACGGTTAAAAGAAGATCATTGATTGACTGTGAGGATGATGACAGATGAATCTAGAGACCATTCTTACAATTTTTAGTGGAAGATTTGGGGGGGAAAAAATGTTGCTTGCCAGTTTTTACCCACATTTGTTGTCTGATGACCAAAAACATCAACGTAACTGAGTATGCAAAAGGCATCATTAAAACGTGTCATAGAAATAAACATTTTCTTAAATCTGATCATTGATAGGATAAAACATGGATTTTCCGCTATAATCCCACAACTAAATGTTAAACTGCTCAGTGGAAGTCATCACCAAAAGACAAAAACAAAAATCTGTCTTCGAAAGTCGAAAGTGAAGACAATGTTGGTGGGTATCTACGACAGCAAAGGAGTTATTCACAAAGAATTTATTTCAGAGGGACAGACAGTCATAGTCAAAGTTTATTTAAGTATTTTCAAACGTCATTTAAAAGGGATTCTGGATTCTTTGAGTCCGACCAGAGTATTCAACACCTGGCAGTTTTTCCTTCTTCATGACAATGCACCGGCTCACCGGGCGGTAGTTGTACAGACATTTTTGGCCCCAAAACATGTGTCTGTTCTCAACCATCCACCATATTTCCTAGATTTGTCTCCCTGTGATTATTTTCTATTCTCAAAATTAAGTTACTATTTAAAAATACACTTCTTTGACGATACTGATGAGATCCAAAGGGCTGTAACATCGACTGAAAGGGCCATAATAACAGAAGAACTACAGTGGTCGTTAGAGTGTTTGTTAGATCGTGCCACTCGCTTTATCAATGCACAGGGGCTTACTCTGAATAAAATGCAGGTTATATCTTCAACTGTTGATTATTTTAATTTTTATGAAATGAGTCTCATTACTTAATTGTCGGACCTTGTAATTCCAGATTATTTCAATCTCTTCTGACCCATAAATTTTTTACTGTAAAGTAACAACTGTCTAAAATGGACAAGGGTTGACAGAGTAAACATTTAACACATGCATTCGATACCTATTAAATAAAATGAACACCAACATGAATCACTGAACAAAATAAACTTGATAAGACATAACAAATGAACACACAGATATACACTGCTACACTTTACCAGTGTGTCAACAGTAGTATAATAAATTATAATGGATATTAAGAGGAATGCTACTTTGTAGTGATAATTTTGTTCAAGAGTTGACCAAGATAAACTCAGTTGTCTTAAATAAAAGGTTAACTATTGTTTGTATCCACAGCCAATATTTAGTGAAGCCACATTGTAAATACAGTATTCGCCAAATCTGGCATCTAGAAACAAGTGGTGTTTGTGCAAAAGGTACTAGTCATGGCTGTAAAAATGAAGCATGGGGTACTCAAGTTCATAACCTGCTGGCAAAGCATCCAACTCTGTTGCTTGTAGATGAGAGTTGTCTCAAGGGATGGCAGCATGAAGTGTCATCACATCAGACCCAACAATAGCAGTCTATACTATATTTCACATTCTGGGCCTAAATAACAGTTGATTAAGCTATAGCACAAATAACACTTAGTTTCACTATAGCATGGATAATAGCTGGTTTGGTTGCAGCATGAATAACAGCTGGTTTGGCTATACCACAGCAGAGCGAGAAGGATTCTCAGAAGTGAAACAAAGATATCGACAGAAATGGCGGTAGTCCCTGCTGTTCTGGCTCTGCAGCTGAGCTTTGAATTCACTGCCTGAGTGAAGGCAAAGTAGTCTGTAAACCCAAGCTAGACAGTCTATAAGCTGTAAGGCTAATGAATATTTTCAATACTGATTTAAGAACAGCCTGTAGTTTCTTCGTGTGACAAAAGATGTAACCCATAATGCCTCTGAATCAGTGGCCAAATACTTCCATATCTGTCATCACCTGAAATCTCCGTGTGGCTTTACAAGACCTTCTGTGCAAAGGAAATAGAAAAACAAAAGCACATAGTAAATGAACATATACATCATTCATTATATTTATGCTATTAACTTATGGTAATTACCTAGAATTGCATGTGTGTGGCTTAAGCTTTTTATTTTTTTACTGTATGAATTCAAGAGTCAGTTACTTCAAAATTTATTTTAAATTTACACTGGGGATGTAAACGGTTATTTTTCTTCCAGCTGTTTTAATTTCTCAAAGAGGCAAAAACTCAACCACCGCACGCACGTTCTATGCAAAGGAAATATTTAAAAAAAAAAAAGGCATAGAGTAAATAAACACATACATAATTCAAGAGAAACCATGTTATTTATGCTATTAACTTATTATTAACTCAAGGTATTCACTGTGTCCTCCAGCAGCCTTAAATTAAACAAATGTTATCCTACAGCCAAAGTTCATGTATATGTCTATGTTATAAATCCGAATGCTTCCTGCGTGGATTCAAGGGCCCCTGTTCTGGGGAAAAGAGAACAGAACCACTGCCCCTCCTCCTAACAAGCATGATGTGAAGGTTGACTAATTATGAGGGTCCCCTTTAAAGCTGAGGTCCATATGCATAAAGGGTAAAGAACTAAAATGATGTGCATGCAAAACTCAAGTTCTGGAACAAAACTAAAATCCAGTGCATACAAAACTTGTATTCTAAAACAAGACCAAAGTCCGGAAGTGGATAAACAACCAGAACTTTCTACTAGAGTTTAGAGCTGGTGAAGAAGTGGAATCCAAATGCCATAGGTCAAAATCATTCGCTTTACAGATAATGCACAAGAGGCCAGCTATTCTGCAGAGACAAGCCAAACTGGATAATATCAGGCTGTTTTAGAAAGCAAAAGTGCATGGGAGTTTACAGAAAAAGTGAATGAACAGCCCTTAGTGCCACCACAGCATCTAGCTGGAAAACGGAGGTGCAGGCAGTCACTGCAGTCTTCTGCTGGGTTGAGAACCTGCTGCATATTTATGTAACAGTTCACAAACAATTTTTTTTTTTATTCAGTGTAGTTTATTCTCGTCACTTAAAAATATTACCACCTCTCAAATATCCCCTGACCTTTTTGTTTTAGGTCTACACTTCCAAACTGTAAAGTACCCTGACATACTAAATGAACGTATGATATTTCCTGTTTTTTTTTCCCATGTTAGTTCTATGGCCTCATTCTGAAGTTCAAGTTTTATACAGGTCTCAAGTCAATCAATCCTTCTTAGTCACCTGTTACAACAGTGAGGTAGGTCACACTGTTACCGTTACATGGCCCAGTAACACACAAATGATTAAATGGTTATAAGTACTGGGAGGTGGAAGAAGGGGGATGGGGGGGGGGGGTGGGGGATTGGGATGGGGGGGGGATTAAGATGTGCTGGGAAGGGGGAAAGAGAGGGGGATAATGGGGAGAGAAGGAGGTTAGAGTCTCAGTCACCTAAAAAGCCACAGAAAGTGACTAATGAGGAGTTTACTTCAACTGGATATGCTGGGCCAAAAAGGCATAGATATTGCAGCCTAGCTGTAAACCACAACAAGATATGCCAACCCCCCTTTTAAGGGTGGATGCAGAAGAAACAGAAGAAATATTCTTACCATAATTAACAAACAGCACATCTAAACAAACATCCTTCTCATGCTAAAAAAAAAAGCTTTTTTTTTTTTTACAAACTACACCAGCCGTACTCACCATGATAAACTTTCAGTATTGCCTCACATACAAATTTATACTGACTCTGAAAGATAAGATAAAATACACATTATACAAATAAGGCCAATCAAATTTTCCAGAAAGTCAAATTTCAATGAAACCTTGATAACACGAACTTGCTTAAACAGAACATTTGGTTAACAAGAACAAAATGGTGGTTCCAGCAGGCATGTATGTTTTTAGTCCCTAATTAGTGTGAATTATTTTTAACATGAGCTCTTGATTTTTCAGTCCCTTGGAATTCGTATTAATAAGGTTTTACTGTGTATTCTATTTTCACCAACACCAGCACATGATGATATATGTCGATGTACTCTGGTCAAACATACAAGTGCTCAGTTTCTCTATGAAGATATAGATAACTATGCTAATATTTATCACAGTGACCAATCATATTTGGTCCAAACTGTCACTTGTGGAAAAAATTGACACAGACTCTCATCGTATCCACAAGGATACATAGGCACTGAAAGCATAAGGCAGCCATCAGAAGTGCTGACACAAACAGTCCAATATTAGAACTGCATTTTATCATCGACAGAAGCAACAGTTACAAACAGACCAGCAGTCTTATATTTGAGCAGCCAGGGACTGGAGTGGTTAGTGTCATTATTATTTAACATATTGGTCCAGAATCTTAACTCCAGCCAAGGTGAGATTATTTCTCTGATCAGTCAAGTCTGGAGTCAACACAACTCCAGTATATGAGCACTAAATGTTATGTTATCATAACTGACATCTCTGCACATTGGGCAGATCCATGCATGTTCAGTTCTTCGATACAGCAGCCACTCCAAGGTACCTCTACTGATTGTTCCCATGAGGATTTGGTTATAGTATCTGCTGTCTTTACCTTGAAGACGACACAGATGTGCTTCACCAAGCTTAACTGGAAGTCATGCACTGGAAGTTTTATCTGAAGAAGTCAAGAAGATCTGCACAACTGTCACCATATTTCCCACTGCCTGCTGTATGGTCACAGAATAAATGTGCCAATCATCAGATTTTAAATCTGCATTACTGTTATTACATTCAGTTCTGTGACTCAGACGTTAGTGAATGCGGTTAACAATTTAATGATCCTTGAGTACTAGGGTCTGATTTCCGTAGTAGACTGTGGAAACAAAGAACTGTTCTTATGGGTTTTGGGCAGGAGTAAGAGTCATAAAATTGTTAAGAATGCTAGGCTCTTAGGAGGAAGGCCTAGGTTCAAATCCTCAGTAAGGTCATAATTTTTTTGTCTTTTTAAATTCTTAACTCTCTGAGTCCTAGGAGGTTTTGGATCACAGGCCCAGGGGGTAGTAAAAAGAGTAATAAAATTGGCGCATCATGCGTTTATTGGGTTTCTACGTGGGAACATTTGAACGTATGATGCGTTCCCTGGGACTCAAAGAGTTGACCTGCAGTCCACGGTGACAGCACTAGCCATGTGACCCTAAAATTTCAGGCCCAAAGAACTGTCAATATCAGCAGTGCTTAGTAATGTGGAAAGAAGCACAAGCTGCCAATATTAAAAAGAGTTTACTCTGAGTGTGGTTCTTTTGTATTGAGAAGTGATAAGACAGAGTTAAGACACAAAAGGAAGTAATGAAAGAAGAAAAAAAGGATGGCAGAGTATACCTGGAAAGACAACAACAAAAACAAACAAAAAGACAAAACAAAAACAAAGTCGCCATAAATCAGACATAAAATAACAAGTTGTACAACTTACAGAGGTTTGTATGAGCATCGCACGCTGCTCTCTCATCTGACGTACAATTGAGAGTGGATGAACTGGCTGATTTGATTCAATAAGACACATTGCGGTTTCCATGGTAATTAGCACTCCTGTTCGACCAATGCCAGCACTTGGGGGGAAAAAACACAGAGGATTGAAAAAAATATTAAATCTGACCTAAAACAACAGTAAAAAATGAAAAATATATATTTATTTTTAAAAATACCTATATTTTACAAACACCGCACATGTTCATGTTGAATTAAGAAGTGAAATCATAGCATTTGGAACATCCCACGAGCGTCCTGTCCCCATTATCAGCAGCCAGCACACAGCTTTAATTCTGATGGTACTAGTAAAGAACCCTTTTTCATCGCCGTTAGGCATAGTGGGCACACAGAGCTGGATATATATTTTATAGACCAATCAGCACCTGGTGGGTGATATGATCAACATCACGCCAGCTGCATTTACTTCCCAGGACTTTTACCTTTAAGGCTGGGTTGATCTAGGAGACAAGGTCAGTGAAACAACAACAAAAGTCCAGCACCATGCAAATGTGAACCCACAACATTCAGATTTGCTACAGCACGATAGTACCAGCAGCACTTGTCAGTGTATGCTGAAGATGTTACAATCTATTTACAAAGACAATACAATAGATGCCAATTACTGTTGACAATGACAAAACACTGCAAGTTAATCACTGGGATTGTGAAGGTGTTAAGGCCTTAACACAATAACAAACCCGCAGGTGGTGATATCCATTTTAAAAACATATACTGAAGACATGGTGATTGAGCCTTACCTTAATATTTACTTGCCATTACCTGAACTAGTCATCTTTGTTGATTACAGTGATGAAGCAAAAACTGGTAGACACTATAATAAATTAATTTACTGGATGAATGGATACACTTTCTGCCCTCGTCTGTCTTACCTGCAGTGAACAACAGTAGGTTCGACCATGCCGTCTCTATTCTGTCGAACACGAGAAACAAAATGTAAGAAGTCACTGGGATCATCCGGCACCCCGTGATCCGGCCAGGCAATATACTGCATGTGTCTGATATGTCGCTCCTCTCCAGTATCTACATGAGTCAAGTTAAACTCCCGAAAAGCGAAGGAATGGCTGTCTTCCTCTTTGACACACGTAATCTGCAATGCCCCAAAATCTTCAGTTTCATACAGCTGGGGCCAGTACTGGTGGCACTTGACTCTGCCTCTCTCTACCTTGGCTGTCAACATGACCACCAGCGATGAATGTTGTTCCCATATCATCTGGTGAAATACAAGATTTTTTAAATACTAGAAAATATATTATAAGTAAATACAGTGAAGACCTGATAAGGAGAACTCACCGGGGACCCAAGCAATAGTTCTTCTTATCAGAAATTCCTCTGATCTATATAAAAGTTCAAGCAAGAAAAATTGCCGGGGACAAACTGTTCTTCACAACAGAAATTCGCCACATCCGACATTTAGACACTCAGTACTGGCAGACACTTCTTAAAGACATCTAAAGTCAAAATCTCATTTAGACATTTGCTTTTATCTCAGTCCTCTGGGATCATTTCTAATGAGGAATGATCATTAATAAATTCTTTAGTTACCTGACTTTTAAAACATCCCATGAAGTAGACAGTTTAGATTAGATCTGCCATGCCTTCTTTGACAAGAACTGGTGGGGTTTTCACCTTTTTTTTTCCTTGGGGGGTGGGGGCAGTATCCTTAACTCTGGTGAAAATCTCAGAAAATCTAGTTCAAAGTTTACTTAATTTTTTTGCTAATGGGGTAAACATCTTTATTTAACTCACCATTCTGTTAAAAACTAACTAATGAACTGGTGGATTTTCAGTTTGCTTAAATATGAACTATTGTGTTTTTTTTTTTTTTTTTAAATTTTATTTTTATTTTACGGCCCCTGCAAAATAAACAAATTTTCATACATAATCAAATTTTAACTACTCATCCATAATACAAATAACTCTCTAGTCTCTTTATTTCTCTCTCCAACACCTCTATCTTTCTTTTTGTCACCCTCTCTTTATTTCTCCCACCCTCTCTGTCTGTATCTCCCCCATCCTCTCAGTCTCCTTCTAAGTCTGTTTTTTTTCCCACCTTTTCTCTGTCTCTTTCTTTCTCTTTCTCACCCTCTGTCTCTTTCTTTCTTCCATCGTTTATCTCTTTGTTTCTCTTCTGCCCTCTGTCTCTGTATTTCTCTCTCCCACTCTCTCTGCTTCTTTCTTTCTCTCTCCTGTTCTCTTTATCTCTTTTACCATCACTCCTACTCCCTTCTCCCCCAAAACAAACCTGCCAGAAGTCATTGCTGGTGTTAGGTAAAGGCCCCTGGGCAGCTATATATCTGTTTACAATGCCAGATCCAGGAATTTCCATCTGGAAAGTATAAATAGTCACTATATGTTAGCTATACATATAACAAAAGTATTTCTATTATTCACATTGAAATCATAAATATTCTTTTACATATAAAGATTAGGAAAAGTGAACAGGCATAGAGGCACAATTGAATCAACTAACCCCAGACATAGGTCGTCATGATTACAGCACCAACATCAGAACCCTACACAGCCCTCTGTCCCCAGATATAGGCCGTCATGATTACAGCACCAACATTAGAACCCTACACAGCCCTCTGTCCCTAGACTTAGGCCGTTATGATTACAGCACCAACATCAGAACCCTACATTGCCCTTTGTCCCCAGATATAGATCGTCATGATAACAGCACCAACATCAGAACCCTACATTGCTCTCTGTCCCCAGCAGTGCACGCAGATGTCAAGATACTAAATCATGTCTACCTTGCAATGTCATCAGTCCAGGATATTCTAAGCTTTCTTCTTCTCCATTTGCATTCAGCTGTTCCCTGAAGGATTACCTCTGACAAGAACAGTGACAGGACAAATTAGACAAGCTTCTGACAATTCAAAACTAACAAAAGTTGTTCTTGATAGTCTGCATATGATATTACTTTGTCTATAATGCAGATATAATGCTTCCTACACCATAAGTGCAGAATTACCGTAATGTATTAGTATTCACATGTGAGATCCAGTTTCTGCAGTGAGAGTATACAAAAACCATACACTGTTGAAACGACATGGAATGAACACTAGCTGCTAAAGAAATAATGCAGCAGATGTAGATGCAAAGTATAAAATTAATTAATGGATATATATAATGTAAAAAAAAAACACCAAAAAACATGCGCACGCATGCATGCACACACACCCAAGCACACACTCACATACACAGAAATCAGTTTTAGTGGACTTACATTAACATAGTTAGCATTTATATAATCCCCTGATGTTCCACTTTTTAAGATGACTCTTGTTTGATCATCTGAAAATATTTATGCATGTATGTGATCTAATGAGCATAAGAAAGCCTTCAACACAAAATGGCATGAAGGAAATTATTACAATAGGACATAAAACAGGCAGGCACACAAACAGAGACAAACAGGCAGCCAGATTAGAAAGAGTGTCTTTGAAAAGAGGAGAAGTAAATTAAATAAACGTCAAAAATTAAGATAAATCTATCAAAGAATACACCTGCAATGACCCTTTCAATTATAAGCAATGTTTGTTCTTTGCTGTAAACGTAAATCATCAGACAATTTGTTCTTCTATATTTTTACATATGGTCAGAACAAACTTCTGACTTTCTCAAAGGCCACTTCCACTGTGAATATAAACCCTTTGCAAGCAGTTTATTATTTATCAATGTGGTTATTTTAACCCTGGCCATCTACTGTGAAACTTTCCAAGACTGAGGGTGTTAGAACAATTAATATTCTGAACACGTGAATGGAGGAAACAAATATTCAGCAAAGACCTAAGCACAATGAAGCTGCAGTAGCACAGTGGTTATTGTGTATGCTTAGGAAGACACCGTTCTGGGTTCAATTCCTGCAACTGGTTAGATTATTTATTTAACCAGTGTGACTGGGAGATTGACAGTTTTACTGGTTACCAAACAATTTTCAGAAACTGTGTATCAAATAATTTTCAGAAACTTGGTACCCTTTAATTTTCAGAAACTATGTACCAAATAATTTTCACAATCTAGATACCAAAAAATTTTCAAAAACTGGGTAATAAATAATTCTCCATTTTTTTTAAAACTAGAAAAGTGAAAAATTCTGCACAATGGCCATCCTTTCAACTAAAGCTGAAAATATGTGATGGACCTAAGTTCTCTGTGGTGAAGTGGTCTCATGCACTGAAGGTCACTACACAGATGTGTCATTCAGTTGACAGGTGTTACGTTTTTTTTTTTTTAAACGGTTATCCCTGGGAATCATTGCTGGAGTTGTTGAGAAGAGAGACTGAAATATATGGGAATGGTCGGTGCAATGAAGTTGATCCCTCTTGACTTGATTTTATTCGATGGTCTTACCTTCACTCCTCAGTGGCAGTATCTGCTATAGGGCAACCTTCACATACTGACTAGATTTGCTGGTTCAAAGACAGCTTACTTACAAGCTTAACAGCTCATCTTCTACCCTGGAGTGTAGAGGTTTGCCAGAGAGATCATCAGACTTCTCCATTAGCAGCCTGATGGTAGGGTTCCCTGGTTCTTGGCCTCCCATGCCTGACATGGTAACCAATTCTTGCCCAGTCTGATTACATGTCCAAGCCATTGTAATTGTGAATGGTCAGCTTGAGTTTGCAAGGCCTGGGCTTCTAGGTCATAACATATAGTGTGATAGTTCAGAACTATAGTAAGGAATAAAACTCTGAAATCCGTGATAGTATTAGGTGTACTAAAAATGACAACATAAATATAGAAACCAGCTACTTACATGGTGATATATCCCTGTATCTATTTTTGTTTATATTTGTATCCAGGCGAGCAGCATTTGAGGTCATCCCATGTTTTTTACGATAAAGTTGCTATTTTCGAAGATATAAAAAAAAAAAAAAACACATCACAATTCTTCAAATGATTACCCAGCATTTTAGGAAACTATTCTCACATTCCCATGTGTTAATACTGTTTGCTGAGAAATGTTAGAACTATAAGTAGTCTGTCACAAGACACATCAAGTGCATAAGCCTAGGAAAGCTGTATATAGCCCATTTATATGACTAAGGCACCCAAGGGTCAGTACTATGTTGGTTCTATACTTTCCAAACACTATACCTTTGTGTTTAAGGTTGTGTCAACTCTGCCACAACTTGGGGTGGGTTTTTTTGGGGGGGTGGGGGGGGGGGGGTGGGGGGGACTCAACTCTGCCACAATTTGGGTGACAGGTTAAATTCCTGGCACGGTAACTATAGCTTTCGATTTTTATGTTGTCTAGTGTGTTCTTCTATCTTTCTACTTCTTTCTATGAGTGCCGATCAATACACTTTCTGTTACTTGATTAAATCACAATTTGGGTTGGACCACAACTCCTGTGTCAGTGAGTATATTAACCATCAAACCATAATGATACATAATTCGGTGTAGCTGTCGCAGTGTTCTCATCATATTTCAGCTCATGAAATCTTTTTATACTGCAAAGTTAACAAGTCCGATGTAAAGTTAATACAGGGTCTAATGTAAAAGTAATATAGGGACTAATGTACAGTTAATTCAGCCTAATATAAAGTTAATACCGGTCTAATGTAAAGTAAATACATTGAGAGGGCCTATCACAAAGCTAATACAGTACAAGTTCTAGTGCAAAGTTAATACAAGATATGAGTTAAAGACAATAACAGGTTTAATATAGATATTAAGCAGCTTGAAGCAGACTTACTTCAAACTGGGCTATGGCAGCTCCACTCTCCAGACTCTCCTGCAAGAGCATGAGGGATGATTCAAGTGTGTTGGCACTAGATGATGATGAAGCAATCTGGTGGGTTTCTGGTGTGTAGCTAAAGTCAGGCTCATCTATCTGGTCCTCACCGGCATGAACTGTAATGTATTGTAGATGGAATCAGTTAAAACCATCCACTATTCAAGTTTACACCATCTTATGTGTCTATAACCATTTTCACCTTCTGCTCGACACATCATTTGCACTCAGGACCACACATAATTAGTAAATAAAGATACATAACTGCATTAGTAGGGTCAAAAAGTTCCTGCATCTTTCAATCCCTAATTAGTAAATAAAGATACATAACTGCATTAGTAGGGTCAAAAAGTTCCTGCAACTGAAGCCTACAGTGCAGAAGGGTCTAATTATATGCACACAGATATTTGTATGTTTTATATACAATTTTGAAAATCAGTTTAAATGAAAAAGTGTTGCAAAAAATAGATTCAACTAATGATGAGTTCGACTCACAACCTGTTAGTCAAAACGGAACGCAGCCGTAAGTCGAGGACGCCCTTTATACCTCTCATTTTACAGCAATTTATGTCTCTATTAACACTTACACCACTTACCACATTAAGTGAAATATGTCATAAAAAAGCAAACATTTCATACAAAATAACTTTATGTCATTACAAAAATGCAGGTCTTGTACAGCATATATTTGTTCTTCATGACAAAACATGCATAACTTGTACAGAAAACACTTATGTCTAATACCTCCCTAAATAATATCTTGTACAGCAATCCCTAAATTATATCACTGCTGTATGCTTTTAGTCTCTTATACTATCACTTCCTGTTTCACATTAGACATGTGGTTCCATTTTAACCTCTGATTTACACATGGTATCCTTTCAATCTCTTAAATTAGCACATCTTCTTTCATAAAAGACACATTCACTTCTCGCAATATATTATAATCTCATTGTTTTCCAAGTTTTTTTGCTGTTGTTTTTTTTTAAGTATCCAGAAACCATGAGCGGTACTATGGATTTCACAACACTTCGGCCTTGATTCCACAATAGATACTGTAAATCTGGGAAGAATGTGGCTTTTCTGCCTACCCCTGGGCGTGAACTTGGACCACAGGGAGTTCGTCACCCGAGCCGGGCAATTTCCATGGTATAAAATAGAAAGATGGTACTTTCACACAAACTACATTCTTTTACAATAAAAATATGGCATCCTCACAACATGTTAGGTTTTCATCTTTCACATAACAAACATGGTATTCTCAACTCCTAACTTACCCTGCATTCTCATAAACACAGAATAATCTCAAGCTGTCACACATTCTCATCTTCTTTCCATTATGAAAATGACATTCTCACAATCTGTCATACTTTCTCACAGATTTTTTTTTCACCTCAAAAAAAATGATATTCAGAAAATTTGACATATATTCTCATTCTTTCCATGTCACAACTACAGTTCTCTCAAAGCTTGACATATTCAACTCTGGGGTCAACTCAGCCAGTCATTTTTAATAAAGATCAATAACACTGACCACATAAATCTACTGTGTATTCACAGTTCCTTTACAGTCTTGGCTACGGTTTTAAATTGTTCAGTCTAAAACCATCATTATAATTAACTCGCTGTTAAACTTTCGAAGCACATGTAAATGTACAGGGAAAATAATCCTGTACCAAACATAGAAATACATTAATGTCCTTTAAAAGTTAAAACAACACATTATAGAAATTATTACCATTGGGTTTGACAACTAGAGTTAGTTCCCCTGAGTGGGTCTCCCTGGATGCCTTTATGAACATCACAACCTGAGTAAAAAAAAAAAAAAAAGCATAAAATGTTAAAAATCTCAGTTGATTTTTTAAAATTTAGTTGACATCTCTAAATTTAATGTGAAGTTGATATTTAAAGTAAACAATACTACTTAATTTGTACGAAACATTTTTATGTGATTTTTGAGAAAATCAATCAATTACTGTAAAGACTAGCTGCATTGGATTTCCAAAACTTTATACCTCCAGTCCTGGCTTTAAAACTGTTTATAGATTACCATTTAGTCTAGCTGTTGACGTTATCCTCCCACCTGTATCACTGTTTACATCTTGTTTGCCAGCCTTTTCACTATGGTATGGTTTTTATACATGTGTCTTCTTTTGTCAAAATCTGCTTGTGCCGCTAGGCGTCGCAGTCTATCAGATGATCGGCAACCGAGCCAGGGCACGCGCTCAGTCGCTTCATATGCCGTGATGTTATGAAGTCTCAAGTTGTCCGTGACTCCTTCAATCCATCTTCTTCTTGGTCTTCCCCTGCCTCTTGGTGTTTCGATTTTCATGTTGTATGCTCTTGATGCTGGCATCGTTGGTTCCATTCTCATTAGGTGACCAAACCATTTCATTCTTTGCTTCTCAATAAATTTAACGATGGGTATGGTTCCAATAGTTCTTGTAATCACATCGTTTCTCACTCAATCTCTTCTGGTTTTATTCGCAGCCATTCTCAAACATCTCATTTCACAGGTATTTAGTCTTCTCTCGTGTTCTTTTGTTAATGTCCAAGTCTGACATTGATAACCTAATGTCGGTATAAAGATTGTATTTATAATTTGTCTTTTTATCTCAGCTGGGACAGCAGGGTGTAATGACTTTTAATGTAGACAAAATCTGAAAATTCATTGATAAGTGTGTGTGTGTGAGCCATGTGTGTGTGCGCGCATGCGTGTAAATGCAGACATAAAACTTTTTTTACCTTAGTATTTATTTTCCTATATGTTAATAGTTTTCATTGTGTGCGTGTGTGTGTGTATGTGTGTGCAGGCTAACGTGCATGCGTGCGTGTGTGTATGTGTGTGTGTGTGTGTGTGTGTGTATATATATATATATATATATATATATATATATATTTGGGGGAAAGGGGGAAGGGGGGGGGGGCAGTTCCCATTTTCTTCCGGATTTCTTTTTACCTTCTGCCATATTTGTTATTATGTGTCCGAGGTTAAAGAAACTTCTTATTTTGTACTAATATTGTCTCATTTGCTGTACTGTTTGCTGTACATCTTTCCATTGCTAATTACCATAGTTTTTGAATTAATACATTCTGCACAATGCTTTTTTTTTAAAACTTGCTCAGTATGCCTAATAACTCCTGCTCACTTTCTATACATAGTTAGTTAGTTAGTTATTCCTCTTGTGCCAAAGATGGCGCATAGGGCAGAGGTCATAGCTTTCCACGTCTGTCGGTTCTTTGCCACTTGATGTAGGTCTTGAGTGCGACTGAGACCTATGGTTGAGCTCTCCCTTGTGATGGTTCTACGGAGGGTTTCTTTTGGTCTTCCCTGTTTTCTTTTACCCTCTGGTGACCATATGAAGGTTTGGTGGGGAAGTCTCTGTATGTCCATTCTGAGTACGTGACCGATGTAATTCCAGCGACGCATTCTAATAAAATCAGACACATATTTTTGTTTTGTTTCCTGTCTTATAGATGTATTGGACCTAAAGTCCGACCAGTGAACATTCAATAGCTTTCGGAGGCATCTATTCTCGAAAGCGACTAGTTTCTTATCGATTGATACTGATGATTTCCAACTCTCACAACCATAAGTTAGCACTGGGATCACACAGGAATTGAAGTTTGACGTTTAAAGCCAGAAATCTGTTTCTGTAACAGTGGATGTTTTACGATGGCGGCTTGTTAGGCTACCGATCAACGGACTGGAGACAAGCTTGAAGGAAAACATCCCTCCATCTTGAAACCGGAACCGGTTTCTATACATAGGTAAGGATATTTATTCTTCTTGATTACTTTTCAAGAATCAACATTACAGCACATCGGGCACACCCAAAGATGCACCGTCTCTCACACAGCAGGCAGCTAGCTGTTCTGCAGAGAGAGACTAAGCCATTTGGAATAAAACCCAGAGCAGTGAAGTTGATCCTCTCACCCTCACCTTTACCTCTACTAATTACATACGTTATTCTCTCCTTTGCATACGTCCATTCTTGCTGGTTCGACATCTAATCCCTCATGTCTTATAGCAGCATTAGTTCATAAATGCTTATCAGAATGTCTTATTTGTCCAGTACAAGTGTTCCTGCAGCTATCCCCTTTGTAGCCAGAAAATCCACTATTTCACTTCCCTGCACTCCTGAATTTCACGAAGAGTTTATCAGCGTGAGTAAATGTAATGTTTAAGTGGTGGTGATTGGTATTCACTCATGCCATATTTCTTCATTTTGAACTTCCTGCAGTACCAACCTGAGAATTAGACACTATAATTCCTCTGGTTACTCTTATTTTTCTGGTACGCACTTCAGATCTGTAGTGACTGCCTCCACCTCCATTCTAATGCTTGAAGTTGCAGATAAATAAGCACCATTTTGTTCTGCTACAATCCTTTGCTTCACTCTAGCTGACATTCCTCAGTCAGATCTTTTACCCCGGACTTCAGAAACATTAGTGTTTGCCATCGCATTATCTCGCGAGTGTTTTTCATCCATCTGTTGTTGTACCTTTAATTCTGCCACTCCGTTGCACCAGTCCCTACATTCTCTTTCTAATGTGATAATGACCCAATAGAAATTGCTGTTTTGTGTATTACTGTCGACCTATTCCTTTATTTTATTTCCCAAATATGTTTAGCATAGGCGTAGTTCCACTGTTTACAGATGCTTAGTTAAAATGCACATCAACTGCAGATGCTAATTTTCACATTTAAAAACCTTGCAACAATATTAACAACTACATTTTGACTAAAAACCCTTTTCTGAGTGGTTACTAACTGTATCAACACGTTCTTAATTTATAAACACTATACCCCATATAGAATGCATTTTTCATGATAGTTGTACTCAGTGCTTTACACATAGTTTTATAAAGCACCCATTTCATGACATCTACACCTCAGTGCTATACCAATAGTTTTATAAAGCACCCATTTCATGACATCTACACCTCAGTGCTATACCAATAGTTTTATAAAGCACCCATTTCATGACATCTACACCTCAGTGCTAAACCAACAGTTATACAGCCCACCCTTTTCATGACAGTTGCGCATTATGCTAGACTATTGGTCGGAAAATGGCGGTTTAGTAACCTGAGTGTGACTCGGCCAGTCAGATACAAATTGGTTGTGACTCAAAAAACAAGGTTCTTGGCAGGTTCTTGAAAAGAAATTTGGCTCGCACAAATTTTTTTATAATTGTATCAATATTTTTATAGACCAGGCTTTTCATGACAGCTGCGCACAGTATTAGACCAACTGTTTTAGGGACCACCCATTTCATGGCAGCTCACTTCACACGGTGAAAGACCAAAAGCTTCATAGACTACCCTTTTTATGAAAGCACCGCACAGTACTAGACCAACAGTTTTAGGGACCACCCATTTCATGGCAGCTCACTTCACACGGTGCAAGACCAAAAGCTTCAAAGACTACCCTTTTTATGAAAGCACCGCACAGTGCTAGACCAACAGTTTCAGGGGTAATCATCACTTGACAAGTGATGCAGTCCATAAAACACAGACTATCTTTATTTGTCAGAACATTTCCTCCAACCCATTTTAGTTTAAGTCGAGCTGGAAGCTCAATGTCATTTATAAAAAATCTGCCTCAATTGTAGTGAACTAATTTTCAGTGATATTCACCAAGATATGCACTGTAATACTTCCATACTCTTACCTGCTCATGCATGTGCTGTGAGACATCTCGGCCATTAATCAACAGAACCTGATCTCCTTCATTTAGACGTGGAATGGCCAGGTCGGCTGGAGTGTTTGGGGCCACTCTAGAAACAATTATTGGCATTCTTTGATCAGCACCACCCTTGAAAAAAAGTAAGAAATATTATCTGTTTCTTATATTTCTTTCTATGAAACTAAGACAGACTGAGGGTCATGAAAATAAATGTGAATGCTCTAAATCTGACAGCAACACAGACATAGAAAACATCAAGATAGACACAGAAAACATCAAGATGGACATAAAAAACATAAGCAGACTTAGAAAACAATGAGACAGGTCAAGAAATACCATCCAACATGGAAAACTTTCAAAATATACATGCAAAATATCAACAAATGCATACAGTTCATCATGTAAATCGACAAGGAAGAAGACGGTGTTTTCTGTGTGTTGACAAGTTTTAGGCATGCTCACCTTGACATTAAAGCCAAAGCGTCCTTGTTCATCAGGCTTCATCCTGATGGTGACCAGACCAAGTCCATCAGGGTGACCATTCCCATTGGGCTAAGGAATAGAATAAATGAAGCATACGTCACTTACACTGTTAGCCAGAATAAAAGCACACTCCAACTGGTTCTTTGTTACGTTATCACAATTGACGTCTTTGCACACAGGGCATCCCCATTTGTGCAGCTACTCCAAGGTACCTGTATTGTTCCCATTAGGAGTTGGTTATAGTATTTCCTCTCTTTACCTTGAAGACAGCATAGACGTGCTTCACCAAGATCTGCTTTAATCTCCCAAACAAGTTTGTACATTACTGATGACATCATATCTGTCCATGCTTCTTTCCATCTGCACTGGTGCATTACTTGCCAGCTGATCAGCTCTTTTGTTACCATTAACTGCGGCGTACGTAGGTGTGTAGATCAAAATGACAAAGGTTAATTGCGATTTCCAAATGCTTTCTAACCATTCGGAGCATAGATTACCTGCTGCGATTTCCAGAAGCATGTTCATGGAGTCTGAAACAATTACTGCATGTGTGACCACTTGTTCTACAACCCATGTGAGTGCACTGGAAGCAGCAGTTATCTCCGTGGTCATGCCTGATATGGTTGTCTGGTAAATGCCGCTATCCTTCTTGATCGTTTGCCCCATCCCCTGTGCTACGTATAGCCCCATGCTGAACTTGACCGGTGCCTCACAGATTTATCTGTGTAAATAACAATGTTTCTGGGCATGAATGCTGGTCAGTCAGTGCCCTTATATCAGTTTCTATGGTGGCAGGTATCTGACTCATGCAGTACTTTCCCAGTTTTATGACAACCTTAGACAAGTAATTCATGTCTACTGGTGTATCCATCCATTCATTTCCGTGACCGATCTTGTCTAGGTCACATACCTGCTTGATTTGATTTTCTGCCTCGGCCATTCAGGACAAGCCTCTTTTTTGAGACACATTCCTTTTATATCACTGATAGCGTTGTGCAGTGGGTGGCTGATGTCTGCTGATATTTTGCACACCTTCACCAGGCTTTCCTGGCATAACTCTGACACTGTCTTGAGATGCTTGTATGACAAGCATGTCGAAAGTTATGTCAAGGTATCCTTCTGTCGATGTCTATGCCGCACATGCTCATGAACTGGTGTAGGTGTACTGACAATGTGACTTTTCAAGGAGAAACATGTTAAGGAAGCCTTTGCCAGGTACTTGATAATCGCATTGAGAACCATCCTCTTAACGTCAATTTGAACAGAAATATCATCTTCTGTGTAAACCTGTCTGTACAGTATTTCTATTACAGCTTTCTGCATCATGAAAAGTTTTTTTTCCCTTCTCCATTTTACTGGAAATATAAAAACCAAATATTTTATCACTGCAAAAACCAAATGACACTGAAAGCTGCAACAGTTTGTGTTTTCATAGTTTATAATGGAAGGATGATGCCATGAACTACAATAATTAATTGCACTTAGTATGACCTAAAAAGGGACTTTTCAAAACAAATGTCTAAGGAAAACTCTCTATTTAAGCCAGAGGAATAATCAAAGGAAGAAGATGGAGATGGCTTGGACATGTCTGCAGAATGCCTCATGACATGTTGGCAAAAATGGCCATCCAATGAAAAGCAGATGTTTAAAGGGTCTCCTAATATCAGCAGAAAAGGAAAATGAAGGAGTGAATGAACAACTGAATTAATCAAGAAATGACATCACTGCACTTGGTACATTCCCAAAAGTGCTCTATTTCTCTATTTCTCTCTCAGCACTGAACATCCTCCAGAACCCCCACCCCCTCTTCCAAAGCCCAATCAAGGTATGGACATTTTGACTGTTCTGTTGCACTGTACACCTGATCCCAGAAAACTTCACTACGTCTGTTTTATTATAAAGTAGCTTAACACTCAAAGAAGAAGCAGCAACCAGTCTATGAATCTGTTCATCGCTCCACACACCAGAATAGCGTGGATAGAAAATCCATGATATACTTCTGATATGAATCTTATCAAGCAATGAGAGCCACCCTACAAGTAGAACATAAGTTTCTTTTATTCAAAAGAGGCTCTGTGGGTCCATTACAGTTACAATATGGTAGTATCGTGAACTGCAGATGTGGAGGCCAAACAGTCAAGGAAAAGAAGCTGGCTTTCTATGAGCCAAAATAAAGTTGGCATGCTGTTTCGCATACATTAAAAGATGCTTATATTCCAGACAGCATGACGGCTGAGAGGATAGTTTGTTTACAGGCAAATTAGTGGATCAACTGCAGTCAACAACATACATAGGTCTTTAAAACTATGGTCGGATGCATAATAGCAAACTTATGGCCCAGATGGACTTGCTGCCCTTTCTCCAAAGAGTGTAAAGGAGTCCCAAATATTCAAAGGATGGGGGCCACTTCTAGGGATTGGAAGCCGTTGATCCTATTATGTAGCAAGCGGAACATGGCAGGCAATAAATTGTGCAATTTATTGTCTGGGTCTTCATTATTCAAAGACAGACAGGTATTAAATCCCCTGTCACCACTTATCGGTAACCTACGCAAACCCCTACGCCCGCCTATGACGTCATCCGTGTCAGACATGTATACAAGCAACTGCAGAAGACAACACAGGTCTTACACTACACATTCCTGTTGTGTATTTCACTACAGCAACCACCAAAAGCCTGTTGCATCACTTTAATATCGTTCGTTTATCAGTTTCTTACATACCAACACATCGGTCTGCACCCCCACTGCATATATTACACAGACAAACAATACCCCTGTAATAACGGGCGTACTACGACATACCAGAAAGTATTCTCGCCGCATGCATTAAAAAAAAGATAAGCAGCCATATCTCGGGTACGATTTTCAACCATTTTTATCGTTCTTAACCCTCATTACCTCTCTACTAGACAAAAGATTTCACAACAGAAAATAATTTGATCGCCAATGTTTAGTGTTGAACGTATGATAAATGGAGTGTCCTTAATATCTTCAGCTGAAAGCGGGACATCTCACTAACAATTTGAGTTGAAAACGGGACATTCCTAGCAAGACAGTTTAACCCCATCACCCCCCCCCCCCTCCATCCCCCCCCCCCATGAATTCACTTGAATTCTTATTCTTCTCCGATCCTTCTCTCATTCATGAGGCCGACAGCCTGTCTGAAACCATCGTGCAGTCTCAATCTCACTGTGTACCGTACAGCGTTGTCTTGATTGCGGTTGAAACAGGTCAGATAGCCTCTCTTGTTGGCAACTTACGGTTGACAGTTTTGGAGCACATACATGCTCACCATTTTCTGGTGCCCATTTGCATTGGCACTTTTTCGTATTTCCTGCACCCCCCAAAAATATTAACTCTAACAAGGTCTACAGAAATAAATATACCTGTATGTTATATTCTCAAGCTTATTCCTAGATATTTATAAGACGGGACAATTTATTTTTCCCTCTGGAGTACGAAGGGACGGCCGGGACACACCGAAATAAAAAAATTGTCCTGGTAAAACGTGACTGTGATCACCCAGTAATGAACAAGTTTGCATGTACTGACAGGCGCCTATAGATGCAGGAGAAAGAAGTAGTGTGAAGAACTTCCGGGCAATCTCTAATGTACAACCTGCATATGTTGGCACCTTTCCGTCTTTCCAGGCGATTGTGTTCCGTTGTGTGATACAGGAGGCATAAGAATCAGAGTCCATGACGATAGCGAATGCGACTAGCCATGGTCAACTATAGAGATCCCTATAGGTAGCCGTGGACTAGCTATACCAGTTCGTGCAAAGAAGAATGTTCTACAATAAGTAGATGGAGGTTTCAGGACTGTTGTTGCCCTCCGGTGTATGTCAAGTGTTGAACACAGAGGTGACTGTGGTCTCGCTGATATCAGGATATGTATTCACTACGCAAACTATGACTAGAAAGCTCAACGAAGGGGAACTGGGAAACACGCACAGATAAATAAGTGAAGTGTTAATTACGCCATGACATAAAATGATATGGAATACCTAGTCTAAACCAACTGTGTAGCTAGCTTTGTCCACCCATGCCCCCCCCCCCTTCTTTTTCTTTTCCCTGTGACAGTGATGGTCCGCGCTTTGAAGATCAAGGTTCATTTTGATGGCTCCATCTCTCGTTTCACCAGTGCAACGTCTATGGAGATCCCTGGGGTTACGGAGTCCGTACTTCGTGCGACGCTCCAGACAGGTAGCTAGCCGTCTGCTGTGAGTGAGTGAGAGAGAGGGAGGGGGGGAGAGAGAGGGAGAGAGAGAGAGAGAGAGAGAGAGAGAGAGAGAGAGACGTGATAAAGCCCGGTGCAATGAAGTCGATCGTCTCGATTTCCCCCCCCCCCCCCCCCCCCCCCCCCCCCCCCCCCCCCACCCCCCCCCCAACCCCCTTTTTTTTTTCTTTAACCCCCAGTCATGTGGGTTGTGCTTCGCGAATTTATTTCTACAACTATGGAGCACTGATAGAATCGTCACTGGGACACACATGTCCCAACACCACATTCAGCCTGGGTACGGAGCGCTGACTCGCTGTTATACTTGAGTTGCGATAACAGTTCCTACCCCAGCCTTTGTGTCACATAATATATTCCCACATATTTTCTCACATATTCCATTTAACCGAGGCTGTAACCCAACGCATCGGACCGTTAAGGCGGGCCTAGTATTTATGCCGAAGATTTCAAGAAGGGTTGTGATTGGCTGGTTACATCCGCCCCGGTGATTAGTTTTATTCCTGGTATTTATCCGGCATGCAGCACTTATTTTGTGCACAAGGAAGTGTCGCCTACGGGAAAGTCCTCGAGGCAGGTTCAACTTATTTTCATGATTAAAAAGTTAGTTGCGTATCCTTTACAGTTTACAGAACTTCACAGAACCAACCCCTGCATTTTTGGGATGTTGTGGTATTTCTAGGCAAATTTACGTCCAGTAGTTTGCCACTGCCTCTGGACGGTCGGCTTCCCGATACCACTGTCAAAACCAGTGCACGGCCGGCAGCTAGGATCGAACCCGGCACTCAGGCATTACGAAGCGCGTTCGCAACGCCTAAGCCACAGACAGACGATGGCTGTTTTCATGACATGGTGTGTAAATCAACACACACTAGAGAGGGAGATAGAGAGAGAGCGCGCACGCGAGAGAGAGAGAGAGAGAGAGAGAGAGAGAGAGAGAGAGAGAGAGAGAGAGAGAGAGAGAGTTAACCTCATATAAAAGCAGAAAACTTATGCATTTCTGGTACAACACTTTTCTTTTACTTCCCTACTCCCGTGTTTTATTCACATATACACCCAAACACACAGATAGGGAAGAGAGGGGGATGCAATTTGTGCTACCAACGTCAGTGAGAAAGGAAGGACCCTAATGTACTTTTGCGGAAAAACAAGAAAGCCGTGCTATTGTACCATAAGGATGATGATGATCTACCCTCCACTCACGCCTGTCACCATCTTCTTGGCGTTCACAGTCTGTAAACTCCGACCGAAAGTTCTGGTTGTTCACCCACGTCTAGACTTGGTCCTGTTCCAGAACTGGATTTTTGCCTGCAGATCCGTTTTACAGATCTGGTTCATCTCGATACAGACGGCTGCTTCCTCGCCTCTCGTGCAGATCATTCCTTCGAAGAAAACGCCCCTAATTACTCGCATTGTACAGCAATTTGTTAGAGAGAGGCGGTATGTCTTTTCTTGTCTTCCTAAAACTTCACACAAACACAGAGGACAAAGTATGGAATGTTGGGGGGGGGGGACGGGGGACGGAGGGGGGACCAGGCCGATACTCAGTGTAGCCACAGTGCATGTCATGCTTATAATTTATAAAATTCAGTGGGACCTCAGTTAAAAATGTAGTTCGTTCTTTGACTCCGTTGGCGAAACGAACCCACTTGTCTCACTGAAATTAATGCAAATCCAATAAATCCGTTCGTCCACACAAGAAAAAAATAATTTTTTTAATTGACCTTTTCAAAATGGATTTTGTATGGCAAAGGTATACAATATAAAATATACCGTATAACTTTATCTTTATGGCTGATAGGTGTAAAGAGGGAGGACTAGTTCTTCAAATGAGAGACCATAGAGGGTAACTGTGTAGGTATTTCTGATCTCTCCTGTTTGTATCCTGGGAAATGGTTCGCCTGCTGGTTTGATGGGTGGTGCTGTCAATAAGATAACGATCCAGAGACATGCTCTTTTTCTTTGTTGGATAATTTTTTCGAAAATGGGACGCCGAGGTCAGTTTTGTTAGGGTGGTGCTTCTCAATGAAAACACGCACTTCACTCCGCTTTATAAAAACGTTTTTGATCTCAGTACTTGAAACAAGTACCACTTCTTTCTCCTCCTCTCGTGAAAGCTCCTCCTGCATAACTTTCATCTGTTCATGTTGCATTTCAATAAGTTCTTCTGTGGTGAGTTCTTGTCTGGTCCTCCACTAGCTCGATCACCTCCAAGCTTAAACTGCCAATGGTCACAATCTTGTTTACTAGTGTTACATCTGTGTCCTTGAAGTCTCCACGAGGTACACAACCAGGCCCGTCTTCTCCAGGCAGCTTGTCAATGGGGTTTATGCAGTGGAGGATATGGAAGTGATCCTTCCTAAAATCAAGCAGGATAAAATCCATGCCACTGATCACCTGGAAACACCTGGGGAAAAGAAGCCTTTGAATATAAATTCTTGAAGATGGAAAATACTTGCTGTCAATGGGCGGGATGAGAGGAGTGGTGTTAGAAGGCAGAAATCTGTAATAACCTGTACGAAATCGTTTTCAAGATCAAGGTGTTCTTCAATACTTGGAGAAGGACATGAGCGTTGTCTTTAACCAGTAGACACCTAAGGTACAAATGACTTTCCTCAAAGTATTTCATCACAGTTGGCAGGGAAACAATGCAGTCAGACACTCCATAAAAAGTAAATAATGTTACCCAAGCCTTGCTATTCGCTCTCCATAATACCGGATGTTGACCATTTAGCCATTTATTGCGTTTATTACAGAGCGGGGAATTTCAGAGTGGGGAAACTAAAAGAGGCTGAACCTGACAATCCCCATCTGCACTGACGTACACTAAAAGTGGAAGCCTATCCTTCATTAGTTTGTGGCCATGCAATGACTTTTCTTCTTGGGAGCTCCTTCCTGGCATGTGGGGTTTTTTTTTTTTTTCAAAACAAAACAAACAAGTCCCGTTTCATCACAATTAAAAAATTGATGCAGGCACAGTTATAGTGGGGCACCACAAAATTGTTTTAAGAATGAACTAGCTTTGCTTTTAAAGGGTTGCAAACTGGGCACATATGCCGAGGCGGTGAGAGAGGTGGAGGGGTCATACTCAACACACACACTACACAAAAGGGAGAGAGAGAGAGACAGAGAGAGAAAGAAAGAGAGAGAGAATGACAAATATACTTACAACGTGACTGGGTTTTTTGGTAACCCGTGGAACTCCTACCACACTAAACACAACAGAGGAACCAACACGGCACTGTCTGAGCTCTATACGCTGATGGCTGTTCTGTTGTTGATATAGAGGCTTCGACTGCCAACGAAATTTCTGATGGTTATGCTGTTGCTGCTGCTCCTGCTGTTGTTTAGAAGCTTTTGCTTTGCTTGAAAGATCGCGCCAACTGAAAGGACTTGCCATAAAAATCATCAGCATGACCGGGGGCCGTCTTCTCCGACCGGACTTGGGCCGCCTCCGTTGGTCTCGGGTGTGTAAAGTAGCTCTACGCATGGCATATCTGTGTGAATATCCTCCCCTACGTCAGGTGTCGCGTGTCCCTAAGTACTCATCTATGTGTCCAATGTCTCCTACTGTAATGCCGAACATTATTCTCTCCAATGACTGTTCCCAACGAGTGGCTTTAACAGATCATTCCTGTAAACTAATTACTGTCATAAACGTTCTTTATCAATAACAAAATCCAAATGAAAACGTTCAAACGCGCACTTTGGGGAAAAAGAAAACAAATGCATATAGCTCTAATGTTGAAACTATATCGGGGTTAAATCGGGAAATACGACCTATTCAGGAAATATGTTGCTAATTATATACTAGATTCCCGTCAACAACTTTAAATAGAACTCTGATATGTAATTTTTAGTGAATGCATCAAACAACACCTATTGTACAAATCCATGTTGAATTTAAATTGCATGTGATGCCTTGTAACAGTTATTTGAAATTCACTGCTTCAAACTGCCTCGTAACCGAAAACCCGATCACAAGCTAACAACACACATATAACTACATGACTTGTAGAAATGCTCGTTTGCAATTAGAACCATACATTTTTACTTAACTAAACCAAAAGTGGTATTGTAAGTAGACTGCGGCTTACCAAAAGTTAAAGATCAAATAACGAAGTGGTTGTTAGGCGCGGTTAATTAGTGTATTCTTGTAGAATTTTTCAATACACTCCTTAACCTCCTAGTTAGGAGATCACCAGGAAAGAACAACTAAAGACTACAAAGCGACAGTGCTAGAACTAGATATACTGATTCAGTAGAAACAGTCATTTGGCAGTCTCCTAAATATAATTTTAAAAACAGCAGAATCTGATAGATTCCCAAAAGAATTAATCCAAGTAGCATGTGATAGCAACATCAGATGGCTACACAGAATATTTAATGCTGCGTAGGTACAACAAACTGCTTCCACTGGCGGACAATATGCAATAGCTGTACCACTGTGGAAGAAGAACAAAGGAATCTAGAAGGAATGCAACCAATACAGAGGTATCTATCTTTTATTCATGTCAGCAAAATGTATGCGCCAAGTTAACAGAAACGATGCTGCACCGCTGAAAGAACCACAGAAGGGACAGAACCACAGCTGGGACAGAACCACAGTTGAGACAGAACCACAGTTGAGATAGAACCACAGTTGGGGCAGAACCACAGTTGGGACAGAACCACAGTTGGCAGAATAACAGATGGGATTTAGGAAAACAGAAAATTAGTAACAACGAAAATAAGATGGCTGAGAGATGCAGCAGAGACCAGAAGAGATACAATCGGGAATTTGGTCATAAGAGAACAAATCAGCACAGAACGAATGTTAGATTACACATAAAGGAAGGCAATCAAATGGTTCGCCCACGCGGAGAGAGTGCCTTGCAACGCTATAGCATAAAAGGCATTTACTAAAACAGGAGAAGCAGGTAGAGCACGAAGTAAACAGAGAGCAGAACATCAGAAAACTACAAGGGTACGTCGTGTTGTCTACTGTCGAGAAGCGGCCGCAAGAGCAACAAGCAGAACGTTATATCTCCCTCTACACACAAAGCTATAAAAGAGAAAGAGCAGGAGGAAGGGGGAGTAGGAGGAGGAGGAAGAAGGACCGGAAAGGGGGAAGGAGAAGAAGAAGAAGAAGAAGAAGAAGAAGAAGAAGAAGAAGAAGAAGAAGAAGAAGAAGAAGAAGAAGAAGAAGAAGAAGAAGAAGAAGAAGAAGAAGAAGAAGAAGAAGAAGAAGAAGAAGAAGAAGAAGAAGAAGAACAACAACAACAACAACAACAACAACAACAACAACAGAGACAGGGAGAGAGAATCGTGAGTCTTATAATTTAGGCTTGTGCAGTCACCACGAACTGTGCAGGTTAAGATTTCCCTGTCAGAAAAATACCCATCCCTTACCGATGATCGAATCCGGGTCTCCCGTATGAGAACCAATGGCTCCCTTTTATGTGTCGTAATCAGTTCATGAAGCTGTTTCTGCCAATTCTGAATCGAGACTAGTCTTTTTCTCCTCTGTTCGCCAGCTGTAAGCTCCGGCGGAAAGTCCTGGTTGTTCGTCCATCTAGACTTTGGCTTGGTGCCAGTGCCTGCGTTTTGCGTGTACATCCGTTTTACTGACTTATTTGTGTGCAGCTGACTGTTTCTTGCCACTCGGGCAGATGTACTCCGAATTCGAAGGAAGTCCCCAATTAGTCGACCCCTAAAACATGCTTGTTGGGGTGGCAGTGGGCCTATTCTGGTTTTTCCCACAAAGGGGACCTGGAACGAACACGAGAAAAGACTAGATATTCAGTCTTTCAGCCCCACAGAGCTGTACTTTAATTTGTTTCGGGTTTAAAATGTTTTACTTCATGTTATTATATGTCTAGCCCTATATGCCCAATGTGCCTGTAAAGGGTCCTTTGCTTTAATTGCTCCCTGATGAAGTCGTACTTTTTTTCCCCTTTAATAATTAATTTGGCTCTCAGGTCGACCCAACCTTAAATAGGTACCAGGTAAACTCTTGGAAACTAAAGGCGGCCGATGTTATGTTGACCGCATCACCCACCGAGTCTATAAAATACAGGTCTAGTCCTGTGTGCCCAGTTCGTCTGTAGGCATGGACAGGGGTTCTTTACTTTTTTTATTTTTCAATTCATATTACTAAGTTCTTATGTCTAATTCGGTGTTTCCCAAACCTTTAGTCGCAGCGCACAGTTTGGGAATCACTGGTCTAATACAACCACAAGACAGTAACCAAGGGACGAACTGTGTGCTCCTTGGTACTAAAAGAGTTACAGAGTAGCATGAATTTGGCGTCGGGGTTACGTGTTCTCAATCTAGACTTGGAACTAGCTTTTATTTCTTTAGTTTTCGCGCAGAAGCCTTAACACCACGAACGTTTCCCTTCTATGTTTCTGTTTACATCTCTATACGTTGCCCGATTTCTGTTTACATTGTTGCCTAAACAGCTGAATGAATCCACGTATTGTTTAAGTAGTTTCCCAAGGAAGAAAAATATCTTTCTTTACCTTTTGCCTGTATATATTTAGTCGTGACTGTTGTAATCCCCATACCTTTTTAATCAGATAATCAAAATTAACCCTGATAACACCATAGTTTCACTTATGCTACGCCAGACAGCGTAAGCCCGTTGACGTAACTTGATTGACCTTGCAGCTGACATCAGTTCACTACACTGTAACTTCTGACGTGTGCAGGAGCTGAGATAGTCAACTGACCTCCCACTACCCCACATGTGTCATTCCATAACTGGCATACAACAATATCTGTATTAGAAATGCTATAGGGTGTCGTCATACATCACTAGCTATTATTCAGTATGATTTTCTGACACCCAGACTGGTAAAGAAGGTGACTTCTTCTTCTTCTCTTCCACCTTTTACCTCATCGAAGTGTCGGGGGGAGATGTAATGTACGTTGATGGGCTCTGTCAAGAGCACTATTAAGACTGATGTTCATTTTTGTAAGGCTGTTCTTTATGCCATCACTCCATATTTCCGAGGTCTTCCACTCGCTTTATACTCGTTGTAACGTTTTAGTGGGGCTTGCTGTGGTGGATAGTACCAGGGCATTCTTGTTAGGTGTCCAAACCACTTCATTTGTTGTTCTTTGATGACCTGTAAGACTGACTTTATTCCTAGCATTCGTCTGATTTCATGATTTCGTATTCTGTCTTTCCTTGAAACTCCTGCAGCTTTTCTAAGGCATTTCATCTCTGTTGTCACAATTTTACGTTCATTGGATGATGTAAGTGTCCACGTCTGGCATTGATAGCATAGTGTTGGCCAAAAAATAGTTTTGATAAGATTCACTTTAGTACTCTGAGGTATCTGCTTTTGTGTCAACAGGGGAGATGGTTGACCCATTACTTGATTAGCTTTGGCACATCTGGAGCTAATTTCTCTGTCCAGTTTTCCGTCGGATGTGAAAATTGCTCCCAAATACTTAAATTCCTCTGTTTGTTTCAGGGTGTTGTTTTTCAATTTAATTTTTAAATTGTCTTTATGTCTTCCTATCATCATTGTCTCTGTCTTCGTAGTGTTTATTTTCATATCATATTCCTCCCCTTTGTTACTAATTTCATTTAGGTGGTTCTGTAGGCATTCCGTATTTTCTGCTATGAGTACCTGGTCGTCGGCGAAGAATAATTCTGTAATATCTTCTTCATGATTAAAGTTCGTTTCGTAAGAATGGCGACTGAGCAACAGAAATTCGGACAGTCAGATAGATAGAAGGACCATTTAATCACATTCTGCTAACTACCAGCCGCATTTGCCATTCGACTGTGAAAATCTCATTAAAGGACATACTGACTATAATTGTTCTGTCTGTCTGTGTGTGTGAGTGTGTATGTGTGTCTGTCTGTGTGTGTGTCTGTCTGTGTGTGTGTGTTTGTCTCTGTGTGTGTCTGTGTGTGTGTGTTTTTGTGTGTGTGTGTTTTTTTTTACTGAAAGAGATGCGTCATTTTTTTAAATCTAACCTAACAGATTCCATCTCGGAAGAGAGAGCTCTATCTCAGTTGTGTTATTTATGCCTTCAAAAACATAAAATATCAAAGACCAGACGGTAGCAGTGCAATCTCCGACGAGTTTATTGTCCTAAACATAGTTTACTGTCCTAAACATAGTTTACTGTCCTAAACATACAATCTAAAACAGGGCTATACAACTGGTGGCCAGCAGAGGCCTAGAGCAAGTGGCCCGCTGATCATTACCTATTGTACTGTACAGTGATCTTTCTAGTCTGGGGCTCGGAACTCTGGTCCATGATGATCCCCATTGTCAATATTGTGGTCCCTGA